ACGATACGGATCGACTGATATGCAACATGACCCTTTCCGGTCAGGTCATGACCTTGACCTGAGGTCAAATTTTCAAGTTGACCTTTGAAGGTCAAGTTATAGTTCATTCGATGCGTCTTGACGAGAGGAACACGATGCCGGTAAAAGTAAGCTCGTACAAGGCTTGAGTCAAAAGTTATTGCATAAAAACTGTTTCCGAAAAAATCGGCTATTTTTGCAGTTTTTGCCCCCTGCAGGCAAAACCGTTGACGTTAGGTCAAATCTGAGAGAATTACTCAGAAAGAGCGTTAATAGGGCTATCGAATGCACTTTTCCGCGGCGCTGTAGCTCTATTGGTTCCCGAGTTATGCGTTGGCTTTTTGGAAATTTTCGACATTCGACCTGGAAATCGGCGAAATTTTGCCTTCAATGACCTCTGGTGACCTCACCTTTGACCTGACCAAAAAATTGACCGAAACGATTTCGTCATTATTTTTGACGCTCTTTCGAACGCCGCCTTCCGCGTATCGCTACGTGGCCCAGGAGCCGAGTTACAAGGGGGGGGGGTGTTCAAACACCCCCCCCCCCCAGCAGGGCGTGGAAATCCAGGACCCCCAGCTGGGCGCGGGTTAAAGGCGTGCGCTCTGGCAGTATTTTATTTCCAATAATAATGTTTTACTTTAAATATTTGCGGAAAATACTGGATACCGCAGAGGCCATGGGTGGTTCACCACAAAAAGAAATATCCAAGAATATTTATACAGTGGATAAGTAATAAGCAATTCAAAAGTAAAGATGGATGAGCGAGTCAGCCACCGCCATTGAACTACGACCCGCGCTGTGCCGTCATCTTTTAGACACCACCTGGGCACCACACTAGCCTAAGCGCACCTGGTGGCGAGGCCTCACGTACGACGTAACACAGACTACGATATCAGCCAGTATGTGGCAACATCATCAGATCGATGTATCGCCAGTCATTGCCACCTGGTCTTTTATCAATGTCTCTCCCCAGCGGCCGGGATCCTCGAGCATGCTGTGTAGAGCGCACTCACGTGATGACAGAAGAATAAGTGTGCAATTTTAAAGCTGCAAAGCTGGTCAGTCGCGATTACTTGCATTGTAAGCAATAGCTTGCAAGTGGCTATTGCAATCTTGCAATCTGACATTCATTAAGTCTGGTCTAATCAACATACCTCCCCCACCCCCACATTGAGCCATGGTAGACCGGTTGGGCAGTTTGCATCTCAGCATCTCAATGCACCCAACTATCCTGCGAAGAATGCGTCGGAGCTCGGAGGAGCACCAAGAATCCCTGCCATCAACATGAACGAATCTCTCAGACATCTCCCACATCCTGCCAGCGTGCAAGAATTGCTGCCCCGTGGCCTACTGCTGGAACCATGTTCTTTGTTCTCTGGGACTGCGCCCTATCTGCTCACAGCCTCAGGTCAATCTCTGCTCCTTGCAGTCCCGTTTTATAGGGCTATTCTGGTTCTGCAGTAGATTCAGAGCCGTGCAGCTGCCGCTTTTGCAGTTTCTGTGCTCTGCAGCCCTGCAGCCGCTGCTACAGGGCCTAACTTCAGGCAGTCAGCTCGACCAGTGGCCTGAACCCGGCACCGTTAGAAGTTGCCGAGATCGCATGCCAATCACGGATAACGCAGGGCAGCCTGCAGGTAAACGGACAATCTCGTGATCACGATCACGAGATTGGCAGGTCACGATTGGGTTCGAATGGAATTCGGTACCGCCATAGATAGCAGCTCTCGGAACAGGAAAAACGTCCCGAGAAGTCGGGATCAGAGTGTTCCTGATCTGTCTATTTTAGAGGTCATGCAGGTTTGCTTTGAGGCAAAGCGGGGGCGGGAGAGAACGGGTCGATCTATTCTAGTCATACTCCTTGCGACATACCAATTACTATGGCCGACCGTTGTAACAATGTAACATTCTATCATGTAACCTGGGTGATTAGAAACAGCCAGAACGGGTATTTTCGTACCTTGTCACCATGATGCTGTTAGTTCGGTACCGGTTGGTGAATTGTAGCCGTGTACCATGTTACAGTTACCTCTACAGAACGATGGTCGCGTGCTCACTGCTCAGTGATCATGTTACCACTTCACTTCAATGTTCGATCGGCACAAAAAGAAAACTAGCGGAGACGTAATGTCTTCTCAAGCATCGGCCCATCCCTAACATTCGGCCAAAGTACTGTTTCATGTCTTCCCCTCAAATCAGGGCCCAGTTTACAAACTCCACTACAATCACGATGCCGCTTTTCCCACAATCGCAATAAGAACACCACTATCCCTATTGTGTCATCAATCGTGATGACAATTTTCGTTGCAACATACGACAGCGCGCAGCTGCAACACACGTCGTTTTCCAGCGATTCCCACAGATTCCAGGCCCGTTCCAGGCCTCTGCCTCGTTCCCAGCCTCGTCTTGTTATGGAGGGCGTACGCTGGAACCAATCGAGGTCGTGTGCAAGGAGCTATACCGATCAAGGGCTCTTCGATAGGCCCTTGATTTGTTATTCTTCTATGTGTCTGGGTGTAAAAAGCGCCATTAGTTTGTGCTGCTATAGGTAAGGAATACTTAGTCAAGATTATCGAGTACTTTGAAAGGTGGGGCTTAGAAAAACTTTGCCGTAGCATCAACAAGTAGATTAACGCAGACCTCTTCCATCTCTTCAAATTTCATGTCACCGTACCTACGCTGACCTAGCCCTTGTTTTCTCTCGGCGGCACTTTCCTCACCAGCCGTCCCTTCCAAGGTCGGAGCGGTCCGAGCGTGAGAGCTCTCGGCGTTCAGGACTAGGACGTGTGGATTTTACCCTTGGCCGGCGCCACGCCCATAGCCAGCCACACCCTGTGGGGTTGCGGTAGATACGGGCATGGTCGCCATGGTAACTGACTGACGACTTAGAGCAGTCTCAACAAAGCATCGGGTACCTTTCCGATTCTAGATCCTTCGGCACGCCTTCAATGTCGCACGCTGTCGACCCGCGCCCAATGAGAAACTGAACTACATCTGTCACGAATCACGAACAAGGACACATCTTACGATAGGAGCGTCACATGGATGATGGAACCCTGACATCTGGCGTAGTTCGGCTATGTGAGTTCTCCCGCAGACATTCTTCCAGTACCGCTAGCAAAGGCTCAGTAACGACAGCAAGACCTTCGTGACTATCGCGGGACAAAAACCCCTCTCGGGCTCTAACCAAGATCGTGATCTAACCGGGTCGCCCAATCTAGGTTAATTGTCGGGGGACAGATTTGGGTAAACATGCGAAACCACACAGCATTCCTGACATTGAGGGCTGTCATTGGCTAGGTTTATGGATGTCATGAGATCACTGTCCACTAAAAAGGCCAAATTCCAATAAATTTCAGAGGTCAACGAGTGCATGATTGTTAGAAACATTGGTACAAAAATTATAGCATTGGAAATCACATGTCATTGTTTTTTATTGCATACGTAAAGTAAAATTCAGCCAGAAGAAGTCCGTATCTTAAAGAGAGGCTTGTAAGCTCAGCCTTCATAAGACCACAATGCGCGTTATAGGCTTCAATCTGTTTTATCTACACCGCTACCATTACGGCACGCGACTCGTGACATCACTGAATGTACCGCCATGTGGTGACCTGTGTCATCATTGTTGGGACGGTAGTGTAATCACGTTCTTCCTCTGACCTCGACTGACGACTCTGCCATTGTTTGAACGGCCGCACACCGAAGAGCAGGCACCATAGAGGTGTGTCGTTAGAAGTAGACACGTTGAAAGGAGTTGATAACAGCCTAAAGGTTCTCGGCTTCGTACGATTGAGCATCATGGCTACCCAGGTTGGCATAGCAAATGTGAGGGACGTGGTAGAAGCATTAAAAAAGTACTGGGCAATGACTTTTTGAGTAGGTACCGTGGGCCGACCCAAATGATTTCCTCATTTGCAGATGTCCCACATTTATGACTCGACATCGACCAACACCCACGCGTTACGTCCCCCATGTCACCGTAACCCACATACCTGATCGTATCGTACACCATCAAGACGTCCCCACAGCCCTAGAATGGCACTGCTCGGGCGTGTGACCCTCCCCTCCCCCACCTTCCAAGGCGCCCCCCCCCCCCCCGAGGTCAATGGTGCGTGCCACCAGCCGTGTCAGGCGCCCCCTCCCCCTCCCCTCTCGACTTGGTTAGGTCAAGGCCCCCGGGCAGTGGTAAGAGACAAACACTATTGTTCCGTGGAGAGGCATGCGGCTTACAGGCTTCAGTGGCCGAGGTTTGGTTTCGTGGTTACCACATGGGTGATCAAGAATCTGTTGACCTCTCAAGATGGCTGGCCACAATACCACTGTAGAAACAAAATAACACTGTGTTTGCTGATCATTTTGGAAACGTAATGCACTTAAAAAACATCTAGTAGTACAGAAAAAAACATTAAATTCATTTACATGCAGTTGTCTGATAGAATCAGTAAAATTGCAATACCTAGTACTGGCCTCGCCAATGATCCCCAAACATCTCACATAAATGTCGTATAGCTGCTGAGAACAGGTTTTCTATAAGCATGCAAGAATCCTACATTATGATGTGATGTGATCATCAAAAATGTCAGCTTTATTGCCAACATAAATGACAGACACGAGTTGAATATTTTACAGATATCCACGGCTAAGGTTCTCATATACCGTCAACAGAGGTCAAAAAAATTGCCGTTCTGCCGAGGTTTCAGGTGACACAGAAAGGGGGTAAAGGATCCCGACGAGAGACACAAATCTACTCGTCGTACCGTCGCATTCATCTCACCCATGTAATAAACCATGAGTTTGTAATTACTTCAAAGAAAAGGTTATAACTAGTGTAAAATAGTGTAGAGTAAGTAATACCATACCTGGGGTAGGGCTGGCCGGGCTGGCTCATGACGCTTTGTCTTTTTTTTTTTGGCACAACATCGTTTTCAGCCTGTCTTTGGCCGTTTCGGCTTTCTTGGCCTTCGGCAGAACCGCCGGACGAGCAGGGCCTATGGACCAATCAACGGTGTCTCGCGTCTCCCGGGAGACATTATGAGACACGCCAAGATTCTCGGCGGAAGTTGGAATTTGGAAACTTGGCCCTTGGCGCAATTCTAATCTGGCAGCAGGACATGTTTGAATCCGTTGGATTTCTATGCGGCACACAGGCGCGGAGCTTCGTGTGGTATTCGCGTTTTGTTTGTGGTTTTGTGTAGTTTTGTGCCTGCTTTGTATGGATGCTGGCATCAGCTCACTAGAGACCTTTGATCCCTTGTCTTACCCCGTGTTTATCATGCGTATGTCATTGTGAGTCGTTATCGCGGCCATGAAGCGTACGCTTTGTGAAGACTCAGACACTGTGACTGGGTCGAAGAAGAAAGCAAAGAAGAACTTGAACTGGGTCTCAAGGCAGAAAGTGAGATGTGGTGAAGTGCCAAAGAATGGAGGCATCTGTTCCTTCAGTGGTGAGCGAAGGAACCACAAGCGACACTGTCAAACTGAGCATCCATGGGCTGTGGAGCCTTACAAGATAAGAAATGATGCCTTTGGTGTTGGAGGAAGATGGGACTGGCGAGTCACAGAAGGTAAGAATCCGACCATGCTATCCCAGTGCTTCACCTTGCTAAATGTATCAGTGAGAATCTACATGTAGTCACAATCAGTCCAAGACAGGCCCAAAAAGCACAAAAGAAATTTTATGTATTGGTATGAGCAAAATTTGAGCTTGGATCCTTGATATGGAAATAAATGTCTAAATTGCGAATTTCACTTTTAACCTGTCCAACTGGGATAGAAGTCTTCTTCCTAACACATGGGTGTAGGAACCTCATGAAAAGTGTGTGTGTTTGGGGGGGGGGGGGTGGAGGCAAAACTTCAATGTCACTGTTTGGGAGCCCGAATACCCCTATGAAGAAATGCTTTGCAGTTTTGTGCTCATCTCACCTTGCTGAACCATTTCCATTTTCCTGCTCTAAGTTTTGTATTTAAATAAAAAATAAAGATTTTGCTTTAAAAATGGCTGAAAAGTGGGGGCCATGCCCCCCGGACCCCCTGTTCATACACCTATGTCCAAACATACTGAAATACTGGACTTATCAATGTTTGTTATGCTATCAACAATTATCTAAAAACACCTACAAGGCTAGGTTAGGGTATGAGTCCAAATGCCTGCCATTACATCAAGCTGGGCATTGGGATTTTTACCATACCTAGGTTTATGTGCTTTAGATTTGAGGACTATGGGTTCGCAGCTAATATTGGGTCTGGCTTGTGTTGAAGGGGCACATGTAGTGCATAGACAGTCCAATATTTTGATTTATCTATCTGGGGCAGTACCTGGAGATTGCCATGGAGCCATGTAGAACATGAACAACTGTGTGTCAAAAGGTCTTTGGGCATTTTAGCTCACACCCACTATGACTTTCTTTACAGGTCCTGTGCCAGACCAGCAAGGGGATAACCCCAGAGTGGTGGATGCAGGGCCTGTGCAAGAGCTCCAACCCCATGTGGAGTCAGCACCAAGAGGAGCTGCAGTGAGCTCTGCAACAGGTTAGTGGTCAAAGAGCATGATCAATTCTTGTTGGATCTCTGGACAGGCATTCTGCTTACCTAGGTACCATAAATTCTTTACATAGAATCAATGTTTTGGAGGAAAGCTTCTGTTCTTAGATTCCAGAAAGTGACCTGTGCTTATTGCATCTTAAGGTGAAGAAAGATCAATCAGCTTGATTTTTGTAGGTACATGATTATGGGAAATGATACTATCATGTTGGATTTGAATAAGCAATCTTCAATGGTATTACTGAATCTCTGCTCTGAAGAGATCTCTAAATGGACCAAAGGATTTTCTGGGTGAATATTGTGCATATTTGCAATAGATGATTGAATATTTCAGTGAACTCATAAAAACACAATTTTTCTCTAATGAGTGGAATCTCAATCAGTTTATTTTATATTTTGCAGTGTTATGCATTTAAATTGTATAATATGCGTGAGAGCTGGAGAGTGGAGACACCATGGAAATTATGTCCTTCCACATACTTTCATGGCCTCAGGGAAATGACCAATATGGTGGTGTGGATTGTTGTCTAAACTGAATTTGTTTTCAGAGAGACTCCACACCAATCTTGGCCAAGTCTTTGACATATGGCTTTGCTATATTTTGTATAAAATCACCAAAATGACCAAAATCTGCAGCCAAAATAGTATGATTGCACTCAGAGCATGAAAAATTGTGTGTCAACACCTCATGTGCATTTTAGCTCACACCCACTATGACTTTCTTTACAGGTGCTGTGCCAGACCAGCAAGGGGATAACCCCAGAGTGGTGGATGCAGGGCCTGTGCAAGAGCTCCAACCCCATGTGGAGTCAGCACCAAGAGGAGCTGCAGTGAGCTCTTCAACAGGTTAGTGGTCAAAGCACATGCTTGCTTATTGCTTAATACACGCTTTGGAAGGGGTCTAACAATTACATGCCATGGAGGGGGGGGGGGAGAATCTGCCCCTTCTGTATTCTGGGCTCCCAAAAGAGCTATAAAGACAAAATTTGGTGGGTATGTGTTTGAATGAGCAATCTTCAAAGATATTACTAGATCTATAATCTAAAGAGAGGGGCGGTGGGGAACTCTTTGGTGTACAGTTTGCATGGGTCGAAAATTTACCACAAAGTGTGTACTTGATTAACGGTCAGGTACTGACAATTTTGCGGCGCTGCGAGCCGCCGTTTTATGCTTTGGATCTTGGCAATGACTGTTCTTGCCTGTATATAATTACGAGCGAGCGAGGTGTAGTAGAATAGCAGAAATTTCTGAGTATGAGCGGCTGGCCGGCCGTGGTCACGCTTTTGCAAAGCTTTTATGCATCTCAGCAACCACTTGTACTAGCGGTAATTGTTGTAGGGTAGCTTTATTCCTGCTACCAAGTATAGGGTTATTTTCGATACATGTGGGTGACCGCCATGTGCAAAACGAAGAGTTGTCAGGTTTGTAACAATTGCAATATCTCGGTAACTACTCGGACGATTGCGCTGAAACTTGGCATGTAGGTAGGCACCCACTAGGCAATACATTTCCATGTGCCACAGTTGGGGCGACTACTGCTCGTGCGCACGTGCAGGGGATCGATTCCAGCTCTCGAGAACGGCTAAACCGAATGGTGTCAAATTTGGTACACGGTTGGGGTCAAGTTAGTAGGGTGCCGTTCAAAAGTAATTTAGGCCCAATTTTCCACGTGCGTAAGTGCATTGTGCCGCTCCGAGACCCCGAGAACGGCTGGGCCGATTGCGCCCAAATTTGGTACACTGCTTTAGACCGCTTAGTAGGGTGCCGTGCACAAGTCAGTTGGAAGTACCCCTTTGCAATTCCGCACAAGCAAAGCTCACCCTCTTGGTCGCTCGTTTATCGCCCCAAATTACATTTTACTGGTTTATATTAAGTGCTTTCTCTTTCTGTTTTCAGAGACTGTCATAGCTCCTGCTCAGCCGCACGGGTGTCAACTGGAGCCACGAGTCGCGAACCTGGAGAAGGATCAGCAACGTTTGTTCCATCTGGTCAAGAACGCCGGGGAGAAGGCACCACCTCCGGCCGAAGCCTCGTCAACAGGCGCTTATGACTTCGCTCTACTCCATCACGCTCGCGACATATCGGACGTGAAGAAAGCGGCGCAGAACCACATCATCTGTCTTCCTGACGATAATCTGGTCTACTGTGCAGTCTGTCGACCAGATTTCGATGCCTCCAACACCATGAGTAAGGGAGGAAAAGCGGGCCTAATCAAGTACGAATTCAGTACTGGGACATCCTTTCCTAAGCCAGCTGTCATGCCAACGGCCTTTAGTCGGCTGAAGGAGAGTGTGAGAGAACACCTGATAAGCAAGACACACAAAAGGTGCCTCGAAGCGAAGACAAGGGACAGTGAGAAGGAGGCGAAAGCAGCCAGGTTGCAAGGGTCTGTGTCCTACAGGGTCATCAGAACTGCATACCACGTAATCAAACACTCGATGCCGCAGTTGCAGTTTGAGAAGATGATTACGTTGCAGGACATCAACGGCCTGAACATGGGGAACATAGGTCACAGCTTCATGCAGATGAATCGCTTCCGCAGAGAGTTCTTTCTGGAGGTGCTCGAGCTGCTGACCCGCCACATCTCCAGAACAGCATGTGTCGCCGTCATGGCCGACAAGGTTACAGTGAAGCACCGGACCATAGATATAACGGCTGTCATGGCCGTTGTACCCGAGGCTCCAAGCGGACATCTCATTCAGAGCTTCGTTGTCGGTGCACCTGTCGTTAAGAAACACGATGGGACATCACTGGCCAACGGCTGGATCAAAACGCTGGCGGCCGTCGGCATCAAAAGCCCCAAGCAGATCGCTGCCATATGCACAGACGGGCAGTATCACGGGCTGTCAGTGCCCAGCAAATTCTTGGAGCAGCTGGCGAAGACGCAGGAGGACGTTCGCGAGAGGTCGATGTCGCCCTGTGTGCCCATGCTGTGGGATGGAGCACACCTACTTGCTCTGGCTGAGGACTCTGCCAAAGATGAAGATAAGTGCCTCTGGGTGTGGGCCGTCGTAAACTCAATCACAAGAGTAACTAAGAGGCACACGACAGGAAAAGGCCGCGAGCTGCTCCGAAACGCCCAGAAGAAGCTGGGGCTGAAGAAGAAGTGCCCCCGCCTGTGGTCAACGACGCGGTTCGCTCCCCACGCCGCTGCCGTCCTGAAGACGTTCCTGTACAACATGCCCGCGTATCTACACTGTCTGGAAGCGGAGTACAGGACGTCGACGGCAAGGCCAGATGCCATCGAAGTACTGAGGAACGACCTTCGTCTACTGAGAGGTGAGCTAACGACTTGGCTTCCACAACTTTTTTGTACTTCTGTTTTACCATGCATTAAACTTTCGTTTTTACTTTCGTCGAACGTTTATCGTATTGTGTCGAGGAGGGGGGGGGGGGGGAGGCTATAATATGAAATTTGACAAGATGTGATATTGTCACTTTTGAAGAAAACTGGCTAAGAAAGTACATTTTTATTGTAACATTGACAAGTGTTTTTTCATGACTTTGCAGACGATGTGTGCTTCCGGGGTCAGGTGGCCGCGCTTCTGGACGTGTACCAGGTGCTAGCGGCGGGCAGCCGGGACCTGCAGAGCCTACAGAAGCTGCCGTGGGAGCGGCAGGGCGATTTCGCTGACATGGTGGGAAAGCTGACGGCAATGGCAGGTGCCCTGAAGGCGGCCGTTCGTCCCAAGAGGTCAGGTGCCTTGAGTACCCAGGCTATCAGCGAGATGCTGCAGGAGGCGGACGAAGAGGAGCTGCCAGAACTGTGGCCGAACTTCGCCAGACACCGCCCAAAGCTACACGCAAGAGAGGTAAGTGCCACCTGGTGTCCTCTAGGTGCGTTTTGAGGCCGGATCCATCCAAATGCTTGGTCTGGCTAGCCTGTGTCTCAGCTTGCTGTTAGATTAAAAGTGCACTAGGGACCAGGCCAGCGAGTGAGAAGCGAAGCGAGTGATAGTTGTCGACGAATGTGTTGTAATATGTGCCGCGAGACCCGACCGACCGTCGTCTTTTTAGAGATATCCTGGCCAACTACGAGGCCGATAGGCTCGTGGTCTTCGTTTTTGGCTACCCACACATCATGGCTCAGCCATTGGTCGTTTCATTCATTGGTTTTGATGAGTTTTATTACCCCTACGTTTTTAACATCGTCTTTGACTTTACGTTTGTGTTCTTACACATTTTACCTCTTTTCCCAAGTTTTGTATTGCAGTGAGCGTTTTTTTTTCTCCAGTTAGACTTTCTATTTTGGTAATGGTAATAGAAAAGTATCCCTAGTCGGCCATACCACATAGCAATTTTTACCCATGGAAACAATACCAGCTTAACCATCTGTCAAAGGCACATAAATGAGTAACAGTTATATTTGATGTAATTGGTTAGGGTCATGACTCATGGTTTCTCAATTCTCATGTATAAACAACTATGAAGTAATTCGCTTAAAACGAATCGTGGGCATGCGTGCGCTCATTGTAATGGTACGAGTTGTTTGAGCGTATTATATAAACTGATTTACTTGTTCTCTTACGTGCGCGCTCATTTCCCTGCGGGGTGCCTGCGTTGTACCAAACAACAACACGTCAAGATTGCACTTTACTTTGTAACATGTAACAACAAAATATTTAAAGCATTGAAAGTTATCTGCGAATTTTTAAAAGGAATTTTGATGTTCCTAGGTGGAGCAAGTGATCACCTTCACTGAGGCGCTCGCCCGACACTCAGCCAGGCGGGAGGAGGGCGTCAACAAGGCCGGTGAGCGGAAGGGCTCCAGCAACCTGCGCCTGATCAAGGCCATGCCCCATGTGCGGATGGTGGCAGATCTGGACCAGCTCTCGTCATCACCCACCTCAGGGGTCGTCGATGACATGCTGAAGAGCGTCGATCGACTTAGGTCAGATGGCCTGATACCTGAGACAGGCTCTACAGAAAGGATGCGGGATGCCATGCTGGCCTCATACAAGGTTATCCGCGCAGAACGAATGAACAAACCAAATCTAGGCAACCAGGAACTGTTCAAAATTCTCTGGCAGCGTGCGGAACAGGACATCAAGCCGTATATCAACCTGGTCACCCGCCTGTGGCTGATTTCGCCGTGCGAAAGCGTGGTTGAGAGCATGGGCTCTGTCGTCGCGGACGTATTCGGGGAGCACAGGAACCTGAAGCATGCAAACGCTGCGATGGAACTGGTGGTTCGATGGAACGGCCCAGATCTAGCGAGTGCTGATGCACTGATACAGGCCGTAGTGCGCTCACCGCGAGAAAACTTTAACTTCGTGCGGAGACACACACAGTCGAAGATCGACGGGGAAAGTTCTGTGGTGTTGAAGCACAAGAAGAAGTGTCCGCGAGCATCAGTTTTTCGTTAGAGTAGCGCACTACGACCTGTACCAGTACATCAGCACTCGCTGGATCTGAGACTTTCCATCGAACAACCAGTTCCATCGCAGCGTTTGCATGCTGTGATGTCATTTACAGAAAATCGGCATACCGATACCAAAACAAATACCAAAAACCGAACCGACTTGGGAAATCGAAAGAAATACCTTTTTTACTAACTTCACAGCCTCTTGTACGCGAGGATTCATTAAGAGCGAGCGCAGCGAGCTAAGTCTTACGCATGTTACATAGAAATTCCTGAGTGGGAGCGGCCGGCCGTATGAGACCGGTTGGGAGGGTGCCGTGCATAAGTCAGTTGGATGTAGTCCGTTGGCCTCTCAATTCCGCACGTGCAAGGCTCACACGCTCGCTCGCTCGTTTGTCACCCCAAAAAACTTTTACTGGTACTGCTGACAAAATACCAGAATATTATAATTGAACTGCCAAATACCAAATTGGTATCGGTTTGGTATCGGTACACCAAAAAGTTGGTATCCGATTCACATCTCTACTTTAGATCTCTTCGTCGTTCTGTTGTCCACTGACGAGTTGACGCTCAGTTTCCGCACACCACAGCAGAACCGCATTCTGGATAAAGCGTGAGGATAAACTATGCAGGTATTTTTTGCTATTGTTGTATGGTAGTGTTTGTTTTTCGAGTACCTACATGCTTTTTTGTAAATGAAGCTCGCATGATTGACAGCAGAATATTGTACAAAGGTGGGTGCATGGGAAGGCAGCCTGATCTGATGTTCGAATTTGGAAGCCTTCGGTTTCTGAATGTGAAGGCAATGATAAGTTGTGTGATGATATATTGTGTTGTGATGGATGCTGAAGGGTGAAATGTGATTGATGTCAAGTTCGTTGGCGCGGCTGATGAGTTCGATGACCTGGAGTACGAGCCTTTCCTCTGTTATATAAATTGACGGACAATAGACCAGCTGTGTTCTGATCTGAATCTGATTCTACCTATTTCGGACGTCTGACTGAAAGAGAGAATAAGTCACACCCATATTTTTGAATCTGGAATGACAAAAGTTCGGGAGACACACTTTGGGTGCTGGAAATTCTCCGGTGACACAGAACAGCTTTTTTTGACCTCTGACCGTCAATCCGACAGCATTATCGCAACGTGAGAGTGCCTGAAACGTCATAAGGCATAGGAAATTCTAGTGTTAAATCTTGTTCCAACTGCTCACATGTTAGGTCATGCCACAATAATTCATTTGGGCTTTATGGTATTTATCTCCGGCAAACGACCTTCTTGTTGGGGACATGCCAAAATATCACGAAGTTGAACCTAGGAACCCAACAATAAACCTTGAACCCTGAAGTTGTCAAGCCCCATGAGACTGAAGTCATGGCCACATTTGCCGGAATAATGCCCCGCCTAGTTACTGAGAGAGAAAGTGCGAAACTAGGGCTGATCCATGTCGATTCCCACCGTTTTGTTAGACCGACTGCCTTTCTGAAATATAGGCATTAGCTTAGCTGTGACTTTACACGCACACATGTCCGTGCAGATTTGTGTGTGACTGCATCCAGCATTGACCTGTGCCGCTGAGCCTTTGCCTGTCGGGTGTACCCATCCACCCGGCCGTTCGTTAACGCTTCAGCACAGGTTTGTCCGAGTCTCGGTGGCTATGCCCAATGACTCTCTCCTGGTCGGTGGCAGCCGCTGACCAGCCCGTCGGCCACGATATACCGCAGATGGGCGGCAGGCAGTCCCACGCCGACGCCAGGCGCGGCGCGAAAGTCGCACGAGCGCCAGAAAAGCCGCACGTGTGATATGAAGGCCGTGGCGCGTCTGTGAGGCCTGTACCAGGTGGCGCACTGATGAACTGTTGTTCTATGTTGCTAGGATGGTGCAGAATGGATAGGATTTCAGACAGGCCATAAGTAATAGACTGAAGGAAATCAAGTTAGCTGGGTGTGATTGAGCATTGAAATAACATCCGGCTTCGCTTTTTGCGCGTTCTATGTTTACGCGTACTGACCTTGACACAAACAAGACAGTCTTCTTCGTTGAGATACTGCGGGTATGTCGGTCACACCAGCAGGAGCTCGTTTACAGATGGGCCCCGGAGCAGCCCAATGAAAACGGGTTCCGACCCGATCACCTTGGGGACGTTCTCTGTGTATTGTGGAAGGCCACCGCACTATATATCCAGCTAAATGTCAACCCTGCCTGACGTTAATTGATGCGACATTGCTAGCTGACGGTTTACACCGAAAAGTTACACTAATAGACGGCTCAACAATTTTTTCTCTATAAGCTTGCAAAGCAAGCCCACGGACGTCATAAGCCTTAGCTGGTCATCCCCACCCAAACCCGCCCCTAAAACACGTCGGTTACCTCCCACATAGCACAACCATTCGGAGCACCAATTCACCAATTAACCACTTACTCCGTGTGGATGTTCCCGATTCGGTGCACGGTTTAACTGTCGGGCACCACCGCTGGCGGTCTGGTGTTAGGCGCGGTTCACATATGGCTCGTCAGACAGACATGGAAGGAAGTTCTGATTAGAGGCGCGTCCGGTGTAGAGGCTAGGAATCCGACAGAGGAAATTGGCGGTGTCCGCCCTGGCATCTGGGGGGAGGGGGGGGGGCTCGGAATGCTGACGGAATGATTGGCCAGTGACATGCTTTCGTTTCAATCAGCATAAGTCAAAGGCAATGGAAGAGGAAGACGTAGCAAGCGAAAGAGCATTGAACTATCCGTGAACCTCTAAATAAAACAGGCGTAATGTGTACCAGTCATTTGTGATAAATAAACGAAAATATTTGCAAAATAGACAAATCGCATAACTATATAGAACGCGACAGTGAAATCGGATCAATGCAGCATACGATACCATCCAAGCTATACCTATTCATCGCCGGTATTATAAAACTTCGACAGGTCCCAAAAACGCCCCAAAAACGCCGCGTCAGCGTCTTGCATTCCACTCTCTTTCACATCCTCTTTCAAAGCTCGGCCAGCTTCCTTATCGGAATCCCGTGTGTGTACAATAGGCGACCGTACCAAGCCGTGACGAAAGCGGCGCGGCCGGTCGGGGCGGGTCGCGATCCTATACCTTCGAGCGCCGCCACCGCCGCCGCCGCCGCCGCCGCCGCCGCCGCCGCTGACGGTGACCCGACCCGGCTCGAAGCGGCAGCAGTGGTTGTGAAACCTGTACGGTGCTGAGGGCGGGTCGGGGTTTCCTGACGGAGGACTGGTAGAGAGAGAAAGGGAGAGAGGGATGGAGAGAGAGAGAGAGGGAGAGGGAGAGGGAGAGGGAGAGGGAGAGGGAGAGGGAGAGAGGGAGAGAGAGAGAGAGAGAGAGAGAGAGAGAGAGAGAGAGAGAGAGAGAGAGAGAGAGAGAGAGAGAGAGAGAGAGAGAGAGAGAGAGAGAGAGAGAGAGAGAAGGAGATAGGGAGAGGAAATGGGAAGGGAGTAGTAAGGGAAAGGAAATACTAGAAATATTGAGACAGAGACAGAAAGGGGAGAGATGAAGAGAGGTAGAGGGAGATGTGCAAAAGATACAAGGGAGGACAGGGAAGAGAAAGAGGGGGAGAGGCTTCCCCTTGAGCGCCGTGCGTGCGTGAGAAGCCAAATGAAGCCACTTCAGTGCCGAACGCGTTCCCCTTTGCCACAAAACCCAGGCACAGCCCCGTAAATTCAGGCTGAATTCATCCGTGCCGTGTTACACCACAACCCGAATAGCTCAGCCATTCTCTCACTGCTCACACATTCCGTGAGCCGAGCTCAGCCAGCCGAGCGCATCGCGTCCCAGCAGGAATTCACTCGCAGGTCACGAATCGCCCCCGTCACGCAACCCGTCACGTCACTCCCGAGTCGGCCGCGTCACGGCTCGAACGTCACAGCGGGTCTCGGGCTGCCGAACGGGGCGCATTCCTCGATACGCCCACCGGCTGCGAGAGCGCGTAATCAGCTGATTATTAGAGTAATCAGCTGAATGCTAGTGACGTAAGCACATTTTGACTTCGTGAACTGGAAATTTTGCAGTAGAGAAGGCTGAAACTTCAGCTGAAATGTCGCAAACCGAGAGAATAGAATGACCAATCCAATCGGCAGGAGAAAAATTATTTTGTGAATTGAACTTCCATTCATTCATCGGCTTACGGAATCCGTGAAGGTAGAAGATTACCTAATTCCAGCTCATTAAAGGTCGGAAACCTCGAAGTTCCAGCAGACTATTATAGTCCTAAACCGATAAATTCCTCGTGGCTAGACGATTATAGTTCATTCGCCCGACCTCAGCCAATCAGCGGGAATAATCCCTCCAAACTCTTACAAGATTCACCATGAACCCACAGTCTGTTCAAGCTCGAGTCCAAAGCCTCGTTGCCATGGCAACCGATGAAGCAACGTCTATCGGCCCACGCCCGATCTTTCGTCACATCCCATGTCCCTGAATACACACCGCTATTACAGCGTCAAAACGAGTGGTGACGTCATATCGTGACCTGTGACGTCAACAATGTTAGGTACTACGTTTAGACCACAGTCCGCATACGCAACATGTGCCACACAAGAACGGCTCGTGCCATGTGTCACCAGTGTCTCGAGTGTGCCATGTGGCGTATACTTTTGTCTCACATTTGACGATACCTCGGTAGTAAAAAAGGAGGCAGGTGGTCAAAAAGGAAAATGTCGCAAATAGGTATCACCCAAACCTTGAAACAATCCTTCACCAAACGACCATAGTGAAAACAATTTGAGACGGCAGGTGTTTCACATCTCAGTCTCACTGGCAGCGTTAAAACACCTGCCAGTGAGACACCACTAACTCTGCCAGCTGTCTGCACTCTGTGGAGACATTTTTGAGACTACCAGCTGTCTGGAGACATCTTTGAGGCTGCCAGCTGTCTGGAGACTTATCCGAAACAACCGAGTGTCTGGAAACACTTCTAAGACTTCTCAAGACACCCTCCAAGAAACTTCGGCACGCGCGAGCCACTACATCATTAGTCGGACTCCAACATGGGAGGACACGCGTGAACAGACTTGGAGAAGAGCTGACGGTGTCAGAAGCGGGGAGGCAAGAGTGGTAAGAACCAGAACAAAAAGTGAAACAACAAAGCACTACCGTCTCTACTGTTCTATTTACGGCATAGTCAGGTCCCCTAGGTTAGACGCAACTATGTAGGGCGTTGCATTCGAACGGGGCCAAGAGGCAGCCCAGTTAGAGAAAAGGTGACACTGGATTGTTTTGTAACAGGGTGGTGGCGCAATGGGTTTAGAATTCATGACAGGCCCAAGATCTAGCTAATGCGGGCTAATTTTGCGCAATTTTTATTCGGCTGCACTTAGCCAATTATGAAAACACGAGACAAAAATATGCCGCCACAAGGTCAAATAGTCTAAAATAGAATCGTTAAAATACAAATGATACATGCGTCGACACCGTTGCCGCCTAACTGCCAGCAAACTGATAACTTCAAAATCAGATAAATGTGAAAACGTGAAAGCTCCTTCCTTCCCTATACGATAAACCTTATCACTGTCACATCCGACACACGGCTCAATCGTATGACCAAATACCTTTTCAGACACGCCAACGGGCAGTACAAAATATCGATCAGATTTCTTCACCTTCCCGGTTGCAGTCAGCTGCATGTTTTTCCTATACACGCTCTATCTCCGGGCAAATATCTCATTCAAGGTCAAACAAGAGATACCCAATCCTTCCACAGGAAAGTAGACAGAACTGCGATCCAGCTTCGTCCTGTCAAGCTCTCTACTTTGACAGAAGTCAGCGAGATCGATGCATTCATCAGGTAGGTAGCTATTCATTCAGCTAGGTATTGATTCCAGCAAACCGTTAGCCTCTAACGCAGGTGTCATCGACCATAGATCTAGGATCCGATAGCCTCTGAACGTGGACCTTTATGGTTCTGACAAGAAACGGTCTGGGGACGCGAGCAGGCCGCTGGAGTGTATTCATCGAA